CTTCGATCGGAGCCGGCGATATGATTTTGGAAAGGTTTCTAAATGAAGAACGTGACGTCACTTCCGAATCATAGCATTCAAAATAAGTAGCGTTTAATTACTTCCACCTTTCATTAAATCACGGTGGTCTAGAGGTAGAATGCTCGTTTAGCACGCGGAAGGCACTCGCCTTTTTATTTTTTTTAAACTAAATGATTGTTCTTTGACATTACGCAGATAATTTTTTTTTTATTTACATAAACTTTATATTAGAGCTTGAAAATGTAAAAACAATATATGTCAACATATTGCGTTTTGGAGCGATGTGCAGGTTTAATGTATTCAAGCACATTCGAATCAATGTGAACGTTTCTTACCTCCTCAGTAAAAATATTTGTGGTTTTCCAATCACATTGTAACAGTGGCGCATCATGCATATTTTCAGGAGGTCAAATTTTTTATATAGTTTAAAGAGAACCGTCTTTTGATTTTATCAACTTTGATTCAATTTGGATTTGTATAGTTAAGAATCTAATGGCAACTAAATAAGTAGATTCTTTGTTTTGCATCCAGCAAAATCCAAAGCATGCAAGGGTACAAGGAAAATAAACACAAACTCAAGAAAAAGCTTGCAAGCTTGGTCATATCAGGCTCGTATAACCAGCTTTTGCCAATTTAAGTTTTTCAAAAGGATCAAGGGGTGAACATTTGACAATTTTCAAGTGGCCCAGAAATCTTGAAAATGCTCAGAATCGTGAAAAATTGTACTGATTTTGAGAGAATATTTGGCCAATGGAGTGGTCCACTTGAACCCACGAATGCCCCCCCCCCCTGAATATATACATTTTAAGGGCATAAAGGTTATTACAAACACATCTATACAACTATATTTATTAGATATAGATATGAAACATTTCAGAACTAGATAACAGCAACGTGAGGGGGAGCAAATCCCATCGAACTTTTGGTCTCAAAATCGTTCAACTACTTTTCAAGTTTTAGTAAAAAAGTAAAATAAAACTTTAAAATACTGTAGAGGCCACTTTTCAAAATGGCCACCTGGCCAATGTGCCATGCTTATGAGTATCAACATACTAGGGGGGTAGGGACGAAAAATTTCGAACGTAATGCGTGACATATACGTAATTCGCCTGAAAAGTTCGAACGAAATGCGTACGTTTTTTTCGGCGTTCGTATTTTTGCTGTGTAGACGATCTTTTTTAGAAATTTTTCTACTGAAACATTTTTGCTTGACAATTACCAGGTAAAATGCGTATTGTGCGTGCACAGGGAGCTCAAGTTGGAACTATACGTAATCATTTAGTAAACTGGACTGGGAAATCAGAGGTCGAAGGGTTTTTCAATAAAATATATTCCAAAAATTCTTGACACCCAGTAAGTCGTAGGGTCGAAGGGTCGTAGGTCGAAGGGTTTTTAGTACATTCCCTTTTTATCATAAATATCAAAAATAACTCTCAATTCCCTGATCACGATGAATTCGATAAACGAAATTACTTTTTGGTATAATTTGGACTCTACTTAGACATTGGCCTAGTTGATGATTATATTTCACTTTAATCATATTTATTTGCTGTTTCTCTTTGAAATCTGAAGAACGTCTGATTTGATTGTATTTCTTTACAGAGAAGTGTTCAAGTGCCTGGGACTTGTTTCTCAAAACCTGAAATTATATTTTCTTTCACAATTTTGGCACATTGTAAAAGACGAATGAGTATCAATTTTGAATTGTAATTAGATATATGAAATTGCCTGCTGTTCATTCATTTGATAATAATATCCTTTACATCACATGACCAAACAGTATTGACAAAGGTGACATAACAATGAGATTTTCCTCTCTTCCGTAATCAGTTTATTTTCCTTTCTATCATAACATTCTCCTAGACTCTCCCCTGATGTTCAAGGACAAAAAATCAGACTTCCCATGATAGAGTGTCATACTTGTCACACATATAATCTAAAATTCAGTGGAAAGGAGTGGAATTATTGTAAAATAAAGCAAAAAGTCGTATAGATAACACTACAGAGTATATAGAAATGCAAGAATATGCATATGGAAATGATGCGAAATAAGCTTGGTCATATGTCACTTTAAGCATGGGTTTGTTACATATGTTTCACTGGCACAACATATCCAGGAGCATGTTATATGATACAGCATATCAGAAAGATAATAGTAAAAACTCGGTTTTTGAAATTATAGAAATCTTATATGATTTTGTAATATTGCATTCTATTACAGTTGTGTTCCATTCTGTTCCCTCTCTCACACAAAATCAGAACATATTCAGGGAGAGAGCGCAGAGGGGACTAGAAACTTGATACCGATTTTCTACCAGACTGAAATTGTATTTTATTACCATTTTAAGAACAAACCTTTGTAGTAGACTAAAGTTCCATAGGTATTATTTTCTTGTTTGGAACTATTTCTTCAGGTTACATCAATCAAATCTTATTTTTGCGTTATTTGGTTTTGTTGTGAGGGATCAGTTGTTTTTCTTGGGCCAAATAACTTGGCAATGGACAATTACATTAGTCGAAATAGTATATACTGGAGTAATTATTGATTTCCCTAAAATGCTCCCAGGAACTATTTTATATTACAATAATTTCAAATTAATAAGGAAGGACTTTTTATTCCTTGTTTGCTTTTTATAGTGTTTATCACTCCAGGAACTCAGAATGCTCAGTGATATAGGAAATGCAAGTTTATGAGTAGAACTGGTATTACATAACCAGATTTTCAAGAGAACATGGATATTAGTACAAAATAAATAATTAATTTTGTAATTCAATCCACCAAATTGCAAAATGATTTTAAAACAACTCATTATTTGAGGATTTATTATACAGCTTCCAGAGTACAATGTAGCTTCATTGTTTTTAATAGTTAGGTAACGAATTGTGAATAGTGTTAAATGTCAAGCTAATTGATTAATTACTTGCATCATGATTGAGTTCATTGTTGCATGCCTACTCTAATCATGATACGACAGCAGCCAGATATTTATATAAAAGCCCAAAAAGGTCAAGTAAATGTATATAAAATTAGCCTTTAGTGCAATTAAGTGGCTTTAAAAGGAAAACTACCCTTGGGAGCAGGAGTTACTTTACTCCTCAGTTGACTTTTTAGATTTGGCATCTAATAAACAAGTCGATTTTCAGTATAGGCGCTGACGAGTGTTTTGTTTGCATTCAGTTTTGAGCAAAATACTCATCGGCCGGGCGCCTGTGTTAAGCAAATTTGACCACGGCATATGTAGAGCATAATGTGAAATATTTGTATTGTATTCTAATCTGTATTGTATTCTAAGCTGTATTGTATTCTTATCTGTATTGTATTCTTATCGCTTTTGTTTTCTAATCTGTAATTGTAGTCTAATCTGTTTGTAAAGTGTATATACATCTGGGTTCTCCCCAGAATCTAATTGCATGGCGCTCCCCCCTGCTCACTCGTTTTCCCCGCCCTGTTCCCCCCCTGCTTGCTTCGCCCGCCCTGCTTAGCGCCCCGCTACTTCAAAACTTACGTACATTATTTTATTCTCCTGGATATTCGACGAAATCACATAAAATTCAAAAAGTTTTCAAAAAGTTTTTCCCGATTTGCCATTCCGAAGGCCGAATCTTAAATGTCTTCTGATTGGCTCAAAACTCATGATTAGTTACGAAATATCCAATCAAATTATCTATTACTAATCGTGCGTCATCGACATAATCTGCCCCAGGTTCGGTTCGATCACTTGATTGACTACGTATGCGCATGCGCCAAAAACATTCTAACCTATCAAAATCGTTCATTTGATGCGTGCGTTCAGAAAATTAGAAAAAGTTAACAGTTGAACCTGGCGCAGATTACCCCTATAATGCAACGCGGAGTGATATGATCACCGATCATCAAAATCGCCAATTTGGAATAAAACAAACATAAAAACGACTAAAACTACAATTTGACAATGAAGTATTATTTTTTATTAATAGTTATTATAATTGCGAACGAATTAATGTTCAAATCTTGCTTTTGATGGTTGTCATGATAAAGAAGTTCGACTTCCGGTTCTTTATGCGGGAAACTCAAAAAAAAATGGGTAAAATTAAAAAGACTTATCTAAAGAATAGAATGAAAGTAGAAACCGTGGACAGGGTCCTCAACATTATCATAAATGGACTTAGGGAAGAGGTGTTCGATTTTGAGGCAGCATGGGGGAGGTGGTTTGACATGCACCCCAGAAGATGAAGGGACAGAAGACTTTAAGGAAACACAATGAACAATGAATACTCTTGACACTACAAGCATATTACTATCATGTATTGTTAAATAAAAGTTTTTCTAAATGAGAATTGGTGTTTATATAGCGAGCGAAGCGAGCGGCAAAAATTGGCACAAAAATCATGCGAGCGAAGCGAGCGGCGAAACTTGTTAAAAAATCCCCCCCTGCTATGAAAAAATCCTGGGGAGATCACTGTACATATATAAGAAATAACCCACACAGCACTTTATTGTCACGTAGATATCCAGACTTTGGACAATGACGACAAAAGATGTTAAGAAAGCAATACATGAGTTAAAGTCATCTACTCAAGAATTTGATAAATTATATACTTCTTCTACCGCATTCTTTTATATTTGATTTGACTTTGTTCCACGTATTTTCATTCTTTGACGCAGGACTGGATATTTTCATGAAGTTAATGCATTGTTCCAACTATTAAATAGATATAGGAGGGAATTAATTAGTTTGAGTTAGATGTGAGTATGAACTTTGTTTAGAGAACGACTCAATGAAGCAAGCATAATATCCATATAAATCATAGTTCTACATCTGAAGGTCAAGCTGACATTAACCATTTAATGCTAGGCTGTTTCACTGTCATAGTGGTCAGAACAATACATATCCAGGGACTTATTGTGTGGTAGCCTTGAATGGACAAGTGAGTAGACTACATTAGAGGCGATTGTGAGTAAACACACTCATGAAGGATCTGTTCCCTGTCCCTGGGCAATAAATGCTCATAATTACCCGGTGGATGTATAATAAGCCTGGTGTTATTGCTTTGGCTTATTGGACGTACTGGCGCTTATTGCAGTTTATTGGTGTTGTTATTGAATCCTAGACCACGTGTTTCTGTTAGTTCAGAAAAAATGATGCTCTGGAAGACACAATACGCGTATGGCTCTTCTCCTAAAGAGAAAGCAAACAACGACTTGGAGTCCCAATCTGTTGGTGACGGTGAAAAAGGTCCTGGAAAAATCAGCCCCAGGAAGGGAAAACATGGAAAAACTGGCAGTGACATGGATATCGACCAAACCGCTACAAAACTGAAAAAAATTGTCATTGAGCAGCCGAGTTCAGTTGGGAAGAATACAGGTCAGTTTTCACCACCTGTCCAAGTTGGCATGACAAACTTGATTGACAGCTGCGGGTATCAGCCAGGGGCGGGGCACCCGGGTTTGGCGTACAGAAGAGTGCAGCAAAACACCACGAACCCACTCAAGTTGAAAATCTATCGTACCATAAATGAAGAGGAACAGTCTAAAAATGAAAGTTGCGTCGTACGCCTTGAGCCTGATATCCCTGAAGATGAATGCCCATCAAGGTCAAGTAGCGAAAGCAGTGAAGGTGATGCCCTAGACTCTGGAGTAGAGTCGCCCCATGATGTCACATCTGGGAGTCACACGCCTCCAATCAATGTACCGAGAAGAGTGTCCGCTCCACCAAAGATGATTCCCATTATGAGAAAATCAGACTGGGAGCCTAAAGTGGCCTCTCCACTAACGAGTCCAGGGAACTTCACTGTGGCAAGTTCCCGGAACCCACCAATGCCCAGTCCCAGGAATATGCCCCAAAGTGCTCCTCCGTATCCTTCTCACAAGTTTCCATGGCAATTAAAGGTAGATAAGGTAAGTCAAGACCCTCCTTTATTACAGAATGGAGCTTTATCAGAGGCTTTTCCTCTGGGAGTTAATGGATCTTATATGTTCATCTTGATTAATTTCATCAAATAATATTGTCCTATCTCATAAGACTTAAATGAGGAGAGAGACAAATTATACCAGTAACAGAGTAAAAAAAAGTAGAAAGTGTATTTCGGGATAAACCACAAACATCGCAGGAAACACTCAGATAATTAGATGAGTGACTTTTCCTAACAGGGCCTCCAGGGTATAAACACTTCATATGTATATATGGTAAAGTGAAAGCATATGCTAAAATGAACAATATAACAAAAGGGGTTCAAAAGTCTGATTGACCTGACTGAGATTATAAATGACAGTTCCAAATATTGCCTAGTCTGAGCCTAAGAGTACAGTTGACATTATTTAGCAGGCATATAATACCTCCAGAATAGATGCCTAGAAAAATAAGAGTTTGTCCATCAAGTTCAAAATTTATTCCTAGCCACAAATAAAAGGTTCAGGTCCTGGATTTAAGGCCCATGTTCAGGTTCTAGGTTCAGATTTTAAGTCGAATAAAAACCTATTGTTCACAAGGTTAACATGTTATTGATATTTGAAGTGATTTATCATGTTGATTATGCAGTAAATCTGATTCACGTTAAAGAAGGACTGAAGTTGTTAAAAGTTCATAAATATTGTTTTTTGTTTAACCAATTACTCCCATATAAAGTGTACCTAATGACGTCACATTAGGTGTCATTTGAAATGAAAAAAAATCTACAAAGCTCTCAGAAACATTTGCAAATCAAAAAAGTAGATTTCTGAGTCTAATTATGGCTTGGCAATGTCAACCTTGATGATTGGATTCATAACAGTATAAACCCCCAAAAACCATGTAAATAAGATGTTTAAAACATAACCCGCACCACTACACGATGTAGCATAATATTGACTTTATGGGTATATACGTGAGAGTTAGCAGACTGCGTCTCAATGTGTTCGTTTCCTGCACAAGGATGAGATAAGTGTTGTTGTTTTTGTGTTGGTTCTGAGGGTTGGATATCATATGACTGTTATTCTTGGCCACATATTATACATGTATTTAGTTCTTATGTCTCCAACCAAAAAATGAGAGGAATAAATGAAAAGATCACAAAATGAGACCATTTTTATCAGAGTATATGGATCGCCCCTTGTATAGGAATAATGTTATTATTCAAATGTGCATTAAAATCATAATATAACTGTATTTTCACTTTATATACATTTAGAAGAGTAAAATCATTATTTCTATATATGGTAAACTATTTATTTCATAAAATGTTAATTTACATGAAATGGCTTGCCAATCGCCTTGAAAATGATTTATTTTCAATAGTTCAAGTTGACTTGCATGAAAGTTAGATTTATTATAAAATCCGGGTTATAATTAGATGTTATACATTACATCAATTCTTTTATTGCAAATACATCTATTAGCATTATGGTATCCACAGCTTCCATTCTGTAAATAATACAACTCTGAATTGTGTTTGACAGATCAAAATGCATAGTATTAAAGCTTTCGTTGCAATTTCTAAGGATAATGAGTTGTCTGTATCCTCCAACTTAGTTCCCTTCCTGTTTTAAATCAACATTAAAATTAGATCACTATTGTGTTATATAAAGAAGATCTATTCAAAAACCACTCATTTAAATTTTCTTTTTCATATCATATCTTATCATTTGATAACATTAATAAGAAAAACAAACTGGTTTAAACTTTACATGGGGCCTTTAAGAAGAGTGGTTTAAACTTTACACAAGGCCTTTAAGAAGTAGGATTGTGTTTGTTCTTTGTTTATACCTCATTGAAACCCTTTCTTTGATAACAAGTTACATTGCCCCAACTCTTAGAGAACTGAACAATACTGAACACATGTATGCTCTATTATAGCACCTGTTGGCCATGAATTATGTTCGACAACATCTGCCGTATCTTTGCCTTAGAAACACTGAAAGCATTACAATGAAATTCAAGTACATGTCCTTTGAATGTCATGTTTATGTCACCACCAGAACTGGTGACATATTTAGTCTCTAACTTTTTTTGTGCATGGTATATGGCATTCATTGGTTGGTGTTTGGCAGTTGGTGGTTTGTGTTTAGTGGCTGTAACGATTGGCAAGTGGTGAGATTTTGCATGTTAATGCCTTGTTGTTATATTGAATGCACATTATTTCACTAATCTTTTAATGTTTTTTATATTGAAGAAACATTTGTCACTTACAAAATTCATTGAAGTATTTTATCTTTTCATATGCCAGTTCTTTGTCTTTGAAAATAATAATGAGGAATTCAAAACTCAAATTTCATTTTTGTCATGATTTCCCTCTTAAAGCTCGATGATTTCCGTTTTTTATGCCATTTTTATTTAATTCTGTGCTTCTTCAATGCTTGATTTATTCCATGTTTAATTTTCTGTTTTTCATTTCATTTTATATTTGTAAACATGGTCAGATAATTTCAGTACACTTTCATTGTATATTGTTTTAAATAGGGTAAGAATATTTCTACATATATTTAAGTGTTTGTTCCATTCTCTGTGATGTTGAGAACATCTGCCACATGACCATCTTCAAATGCTTCAGTTCTGCTTCTTCCTAAAACCTGAAATAAAAACAAAAATACATGAATGAAAATTAGATTTTGTCAATTAAAAGATGTCACTACCAATTTTGACTGCAGGATAAAAGCATTAACAGATAAAGGCAAAGCTAGACTAGCTACAAATCTTTATGCCCTCACCCCACTTTACACATCCCCGTTGTGAGAAGATTTCGTACCTGTGTAGTATCGTAGTACTAGACAGGTCACAGGGACTTGGAGCTAGTCTAGGCAAAACTAGCATGAATATAATGGATTATGTTTCTTGCTTGGAAAGCTATGTTGAAAGTAGAATTATTTTCTAATATATCACAAGTATAGATTAATTCCCTTTGTAATCAATCATTTCTACATTTTGGCATCTCAAAGTGATCTTCAAATATGGTTCTGTAAAAAGAATCAATATTTTTGATACTATTTTTGTAAAATATTAAGATGGATACTTTTGGATTTTACTGACAGATACTCCAGAATCTCTAGGATCTCATAAGTGTTTTTGAAGACCGCAAGAATGCTGATGATTGGCTACAATTCACTTTTACAATAATCAGACTTATTACTATTTTATTGAATAAATCTATCAATTTGATATGAACATAGCCTTGATATGTCCTGATAGATCTCTATTCTTGGTGAAAACACTTACGACCTTTGGGTAAAATATCAGTGCCCATGTTTTAAAATATGAAAAAAATATGAAAAAGTGGAATTAGCAAGGAATAAAATAAACAAATATGAAGGTCACACTCTGTATTCTCTAGAAACACATAAATATTATGAAGTTTGTACATATCTGAAGGAACTTTTGCAGAATACATGTCAATGTAATCGAAGTAGAGACTTTTAACAGTAAAGTATATCTAAGATTTAGAGTGGCATGTTCACCAGTGTTGAATCTCAGAAATTAGGACGTAAACTGGTTGCCATAATTTATAGGTGTTCAATACATAACAACTCGAAAAGATATTTAGAAAAGACTATTTTTTTACTTTTAAGCGATACTATTAAAGCTTTTAGTGTAATGGTTCTTAAAGATTTCTTGTCACGATATTTGGACCTTGGATCTATACCTTAAAAGGTAAGGTGTATTTATTGATCTGTTATGATGTTTATTTGGATTTGTTGGCAGATGGTAATTAATTATATATACATGCTTTTTGTGACTGGTATGCCAATGAGCTTCAAAACAACTTTGTTTTTTGCACAAAAAAACTAACAATATGCTCTGGTCTGCACAGGACGATTTTAAGGAATAAAGACAGAGATTCTTTCATATATGGGGTAATATATGACCAATGATTTTTTCAGATCATTGTTAAAAGAATGAAATCTCAGAGCGATTTAGGTCTTTGTCATTGCGCAGAATAAAATCTAAGGTCATACATTTGCCATAAATCATAAATCGAGGTCTTACGATTCTAATATGATAAACAAAACAGAAAAACAACTATTTGAAAGTTAGTGGTCATACATACCCCATTATAGACCAGTAAATCATTTGTTCTAGTTATTATGCATCTCGTATTATGAGTGATGTCCAATATTAGAATATGGAATAGAATTCCTGTAAAGAGACATTTACTGAATTCTGTTTCTAAGCACAAGTAGGTTTGATCCCCACTGGGGTAGACTGACTTCACATCAGGCCTTAACGCAGAATTTTATTCTATGTTTCCATTAACCAATACCTCCAATAAAAAATGCGTTTGTGTTGTAATCCAGGCCCATAGCCAGGGAGGTTCAAAAATTCTTTCAAATTTATGCAGTTTTTCACCATTTTGAGTACTTTTCAAGTGATTTTGGCCATTTTTGGGCCTATGTTATCAAAAGTGAGCCCCCTGGAATTTTCAAAAATGAACACCCCCCTTGGCAAATCCTCGCTATGGACCTGTATACGTAGTCAGACCAGCATATATCTTTTAAGCTATCACAAGTGCAAGTAGGCCTATAACTGTAAGTACTTGTTTGTTCAATGTATTATTAGATAAGGCTTATCAGAATAGAAGTCTGATGAGGGTTTGTTATCTCAAGCAAATTGGCCTACATTGTCTAATGTGAAGAATATTGTATGCCCTTTCTGGTCATTTCTTCAATAGGTTTTTTATGAATTCTTAGAAGTACCCTAAACTTTTTATTGCACTTAACGAAAAGTGCTGTATTGCCGTCATCTTGTGCTAATTGGCAGGCATACTGATGTGCAGACATCATTTGTTGTTGCTGCATCAGTGTCTTCATTCGTTGTCTTCTTTCTTCTTTCTTTGATTGTGATGTTAGTTATCTTTCTTCAGGGTCCACAGACTTGAGAGGTGGGTTAAACGTTTTGATCTGGCCGGAAAACTCTCCCATTCCCTTGCTGGTGTTCTTATGTTGTCTTCTGTCAGTTCCTTCCTCTTACTTGTGATCGGTCTTCTAACCTCTCGTAGTTTACCTTCTTTGCAGAGACAGGTGCCTCATGAAT